CTCTCGCTTTATTCTGTTTTTCAGACTCAGTTGCCACCTCACCTGCTCTCTCCTCCCTCCTTTTCCTTAAGGAAAAGTTGCCTGATACAGCTGGGAAAGCCTCTTCCCAGCCCTGCATCCAGGCAAACCTGCACCTTTGTCTCCTGTTCCAGCCTGGCAACACACCAACTCGCACAAACCTGGGTAAATCCTGACCCTGCACCAACAACCAGCACACAGAGCCCATTCCCAGGCTTTCCAATGAAGCCGTGCATGGGCACAAGTGAGGTCTGAAGCACCGGGATCCCAATCACCCAAGACACCACAATACCACTGGCATCAGCACGGTTTCATCCCTGCTGCCCTCCTCTCTCCCTGCCGGTGCTCAGCGCTGCAGCCCGCTCCTCAGCTCAGGAATACACCACCATAGGGCAGGGGAAATGGAAAATGGGAAGTGATGGTGGCAAAGCAGCCACCCTCATCCCTGCACTGGGACACGTCCCAGCAAGAGGCAGCTCCAGTGGCGGGGCTGGCACCGGCCAAACCTCACCCTGGGCTAAGCCGCAATGAACACACACTCGAGGCTCCACCATGGTGGCAATCAAAGGCAGGCGCTTCAATGCCTCGAGTGCTCCCCGGGCTGCGGCTGGGGCTGGGGTATTTTTAGCCAACGAGTTATCCGATGAATTTGGTGCTATTTCTGTCCCCTGCTCGGGAAGGAGCTGCCAGGTTTGGTCACCTACAGCCTGCTCAGGGGTAGCTGCAGCTCCTGCCAGCCCCTGCCCTGGGCAAGCCTCAGGGAGCACCGGGTCCCCTTCCCAACATCCTGGGGCACAGCCCTGCACCATGCATGGAAGCTCTTCCCTGTGAGGGTGCTGAGGCGCTGGCACAGGGTGCCCAGAGAAGCTGTGGCTGCCCCATCCCTGGCAGTGCTCAAGGCCAGGTTGGACACAGGGGCTTGGAGCAAGCTGCTCCAGTGGAAGGGGTCCCTGCCCGTGGCAGGGGTTGGAGCTGGAGGAGCTTTAAGGTCCCTTCAACCCAAACCAGGCTGGGGTTCTATGGCCAGGCATCTGCCAGGACACCTCCATTGCCGTCACAGCTCCAGCCAAGTGATCACCCTGAATCAAGGTCATCTAGAACCAAGTAATGCCCCGAAACAGCAAAAATCCCTTCTGGTGAACACATTTTGCCATCACCACTGCCAAGCAGCCACCTCTGCCCTACAGAGACCAGCCCGATGACAGCCACTGCTGGAGTGAGCTCTGAAACCTCTGAGCTGATGCCTGAGCTCTTTCAAACACCAAAACCAACTCCTTGCCCCCATTTAAGGTCATTCAGTCTCGCCCATCACCCAGCGCAGACTCACGTGAGCACCAGCTTCCTCTCTGGAATGCCGAGGGATAACGGGGAAACTGAAACCCAGCAAATCGAGGGGGGCTCTGCACTTGGCCAGGGTCCCGACAGCGCCTGGAATCACCGTGCTGGGAACAGAGGCTGCACAGATGAGGGGAACTGGGGTGCCTTTATTACGAAAACCAGAATAAAGCTGATCCTGCTGATTCCATACATGTACGGAGCAGAGATTCTGCGGAATGTCAGAAGTCGGAGAAATACGTATTTAATAAATAATATAAAATGCTTTTTTTCTCTTGTTAAAATAGAATTCTGGGTTTATAGCTACAGAGCACAGCGACCTTTACATCAACAAAATAAAGCTGAGTCTGGGGGGATCAGGTTAACACAAAAGAAAATACAATTGAACAACAGAATTAAAGCAGCCGATGTTCAGTCCACACAATATGTACACCATGGAATAGAAATCAACAGAAAACAAAAAGAGATCACCTGGAATTTCCTCAGACATCTGGATATACATCTGGTCTCTGTAGACTTTAGATATTTTCCTTTGTTTTTTTACAATATTAAAATTAATACTATGCTTTCCCAAAATACACTTCTCAGGTTTTTTTCTCTCATTCGTGGAATTGACGCATTCCTTATATTAATCAACACAACTAGAATTATTTACTTGCTACTGTACACTTCAAAGTAATCCTTCCTCCATTCCAGCCACACCTCGAGCAGGAGCATCCCAGAGTGAAATACCTGCATCCCTGCCATGTGCTGTGTGGGGACAGTGAAACCCATGTGTGACTGCGAGTGGCTAAGGTACAGGTATGGGTATGACCATGGGATTAAAGGAGAATTGAGGCCTAAGCTGAGCAGCAGCCAGGGAAAGAGCCACACACCAAGCTCCAAGTATCCCTCTTCCCATGAGCTAACGCACTGCAAACCTCACCACATGCACTGGGGCTTGACAGCACCCTTGGTGCAGCGCACCGTCACACCTTGAGCTGCTCCAACAGCCTCAGCTTGTGCAGGTCACAACTGAGAGACAGCTTTGCTTTCAGCACCAAACACATCTCTTGTTACCCGAGTGCTGCCATCAAACCCCTGCGCTGTATTCAGAGCACAACCAACCCAAAGCTGTGGCTGCCCCATCCCTGGCAGTGCTCACGGCCAGGTTGGACACAGGGGCTTGGAGCAAGCTGCTCCAGTGGAAGGGGTCCCAGCAGGAGCTGGATGAGCTTTAAGGTCTCTCCCAACACAAACCAGGCTCAGATCTATCTCCTTTATTCCCCCCCCCATACATACAGCAACTCCCATCTGACAAAAACATCACCCTACTTCAAGGGCAGGGCAAAGGGAAAGGAAAGGGGAAGGACATGGAACAGAGTCACAGCTCCTCGAGCAGTCGCTGTGACTCGCCAGCCCAACTCCAGCAGGAATTACACATCCCTCTCCCCTCACATCACTCAGGCGCTTCCCTTCCAGGATCCAGTCATTTCTCAGCTCATACATCAGACCCAAGGAATATCTGGAAAACAATCCCTGCGGCACTGGAGGCGTGTGGCTGTGTCTGGGGAGTGCTGAATATGGCACCGAATTCTCTGGTTTGGAATATAAGAAACAATTCCTGAACACGCTCTGAACATGAAGCAGAACATCAGCACAGCTGCCATGTTTGCCAGCACATTCAGATACCTTGTGTAGAAGTCTATGTTCAGTCATTCACTGCTGCTGCCTGATGCTCTCGTTTCTTTCATCTTCACTTCCCTGAATCATTGAGGAAAAACCCTCAAAACTCCCCCCACCTAAACCCAAAAGGAAAAAAACCCAAACCCCGGCCCCCCAAACCCCCCAATCCCTGCCCTGGAGTTGTGCTCAAAATGAACCAAAGACCACACCGTGCCCCAGGTGCTCTGTGTTCAATGACATTTTCCACACAAGCAGCTGAAGACCTTCCCATCAAGTAGGAGCATCTTGTGCAAGAAACCTCAGAGAATTCGGTACCCAACCCAGGACCGAGCTGCCCACAGCAGTATCTAACACTGGCTTTGAGATGTGGAATTCCAGCTCTCCCTCCCTCCCTTCCATGCAGATCCCCACTTGTGACTGGGATCTGATGCAACCTCTCCCCTCCTTACAGCACAGTCATGTGCAAGTCACCAACATAAAGCTTTTATAAGCGGTCAATAAATCAGTTGACTGAAGAACTGACACTGTGAGTGGGGCTGCCCTGAGCCTGCACGAGGCAAGAAGGACCCCATGAATGTGTGCTCCAGGGCATCCCAACTCCATTACACTTCAAGAAGTGCCTGTTTCCCTAAGTCAACACACAGCCTTCATTTCATATAAAATCTATGGGTTTGAGGCACAATTTCCCAACTGCAGATGTGTCCCTCCCCTCCTCACGGACACATCAGGAGCTGCAAAACGCTTCCAACAAGGATTTAGAGTAAAAAGCAACCACGCAAAACAACTGGAACAGAAGAATGGAACCGATCGTGAACTAAGGACATACAAACAAGTTACATGAAAACTAAGAGCGGTTTTCATCACAATCTGAGGGTATTTTTCCAAATCAAGAAGGGAAATAAGCCCATTGCATGGTATTGTAGGAAAAGCTTAACAACACCCAGTGCGGAGTCAGCACCAGTGAGATGAGACTTTTCCTATTCCACTGTCATAAGCACCGCCCCTACTCCTTAAAGAGGATGCTGAGGTGCTAAACACCACTTACCAGTAAGGATGGCAGAAGCTGGTACTCTTTATACTGAGCAACATGAAAAAATAAATGGGGGGGATCATTAAAAGCTATCACCTGATGCACAGGGGGTCCACACTTTTCCAAAGTGCGTTTTCCATTCACACTGCACAGGATGGTCGAAGAAAAGGCTTTGGGGGTTAAGCTACTTCCAGAAGCAAATCCATCCAATTTTATCACAAGTGTGCTCAGGATGAACTTGTACTTTTAACACATTTCTCCTGATTTTGCCTATCTGTACTTTTCTACATGGAAACAGGCCCAGACTCCATGGAAATCTGTTAGTGCCACCACTCAGCACACACCAGGGGACAAGGCATGCTGCCTGTGCAGCTGCTGTCCCCATCCATGCTGCTACAACTCCCATCATCTTTAGGGACTATGAGACTTGTACCATCACAGCCAGGCAGAACACGTTCAGGTGTTCACTGAATCGGAAGGAAAGCTCAAATTCAGCCCTGATCTCCCTCTTACAAAACACCAGCACAGCCACAGAAAGCTGACTTGACGTGCCTGAAGTTGTCTAACAGCTAAGAGATTATACCTTTACTTTAGCAAGAGTTTCCACATGACAGGACTGACGTCTCAAGCAGAATTAATATAAACCTGGCATTTGATCAGCTCGTTTTTCACTTCCATCCCAGTATTTTCAGACTGTTTTCAATGTGCACAGTTTGAACTCACTAGAAAAGACAACTGAAAATCCTTTTGCAAGCTGAGCCGTTTGATGGGTGCACAAAGCTCCTGAGCTGAGCTACAGCGATGGCCCAGGCTACCTACGCTATGAGAAGACACTTGCTTCATGGTTTTGTGTACAACAGAGAGGGATCCACAAGTCCCATAACTGAGGAGTGATCCCGACTACGTACCGAGGTACCCAGACACTTTAACCCAGTACATGCACTAGTATGCATTGGATTTGAGTAACTTCTGTTTAATCTTTAAAAAGTGCAGTTGACCTGAAATGGAAAAGAACTGTCTTTATGTTCACTGTAAACTTGTCAAAAGGAATCTGCTCTTTAAAAACTGTGCTAAAATAGTCAAATTTATACAACAGAGCACTAGATGAAGCTACCATAAATTCCTCTTCACCAATTATTACTCTATGGTGTCAGTTATAGTACTGCATATACGTAGAAGAAGCAAAACGGTGGTAGCTACTATTAGTGAGTACAACAAACCAAGTGAATAATTTGAGTTCAATGCTTCCATGAAGTAGCAATAACATTTAAACCACAGGACAGTTAGAATTCAGTACTTGGAAGTGCATAAGAGTCACACTGTTGATCATCAGCAGTATGGAGAAAGGTTATTACAAAGTCAGCAGTAATGGTCGGAAAGAACATGGCAACACGACAGACTGAAGGTTATCCAACACAGCAAGTCTGCAGCTCCTCCTGCAGCCGAGGGGCTCGTCGGTCCCGCACAGACCTGTGCTCCCAGCCAGCAGTCACCAGCCCAGTCTCCAGGCTTGGAGAGTATTGCAGAGAGAACAGGATCTTCCTTCCATCAGTAGTTCCAGGCAACGGACCACGGCTCCGACACCGCCAGGGTGGGGAATGCACGGGAGCAACATGCAGCCTCTACGCTCGGCAACTTCCACCGCTGCCAGGAGCATGAATTCACTTGCCACGGTTCCAGTCCTCCCAACCTCCAGACACAGAGTTCTGACATATCCCACGCTGTAAACATCAAGTTCTTCCTCTTCTAAGCACATCCCGCGGGCAGGATTGCACAAAGTAATTCGTAAGGATTCTGTGAAACTCGGCATGTTCACGAAGCAGCTTGCCCTAAGTGAACCTGGGTTGCTGTTCCTCCTACAGACCATTGCTATTCCTGTGGCTGAGCGGTGGTTTGGAAAGCTCTACAACTGTGGAGCGAGATTTATTGAGAAACTTGGGAGCCCGGCGCAGCAACCTCTGTGCCTCAGTAAAAGCTTCTGTCAGCTCCTTTTTCCACTGAACAAATTCTGGGTCACTCTGAAAGAGATACAGAAGTCATTTGGCACTTCACAGCAAACTGCCAATAGCGTCTTCTCTCTTAGTTAGCCCTTTAAGCAACTTAGTTTAGTTCCCTGTAGGAATGAGGAACTTTGGGCAGTGCAGCCCTTGTTTCTCCAAAGCCAGGCAAGGCAGCAGCAACTACAGCTGGTCCAAACATGCTGAGCACTGGTGTACTTCCTCCCTTGCAAACACATCAGCCACCACCAACCGACATGTGCCAACAAGGCCTTCGAAGCCCACGGAGGTTGCGAAGTTTTGAGGTTTTTAGCTATTTACTATTAAACTATTTAACCATTGAAATCCAGGACAGGAGCTGCATGGTTTCCTGCTTTCAAAACTCAAGTGGGATAAGAACTTCCTAGTTCTGCTTAGCTTCATGAAGTACCCTTAGCTAACACGTAATGGGAGGACCTGAAAAACTTCAATCGTTTTATCATACGCAAAATCAATCTGATTAACAGTTACTGAAAAACAGGGGTCTCACCTCACACTGCAGGACAAACTGTTTCCCTCCTTTAATCCTCAGTAAGATGCATTTCTTATCTTTAATCTGTGTTTCTTCAACAGACACTATTTGTTCCATTGTCAGAAGGCTTTGCTGTAGCATTTGCAAAAAAGCAGAGAGATGACTGAAAAAACCCTGTTGCCCATCAAACAAAACCACTACCTCATTTCTCTGGACTACCCACGTAAATCGAGTTATGAACAATCATTACACAAACATTTATTTCTGAAGAGTGGGGTCATCAACTAAAGATAGACTATAAGGTAAGAGAGGGATTTAGCAAGGGGCTTGGTTGTTCCAACAGATGCAACAAAATACAAGCTAAGAAAGCCAGGAATGACAGCACAAAATAAGAATCTACAAATAGGTGTGTCTACAACCAGATAGTCACTATTTTCCCTCAAGAGACTTGCAAATAATGCTATATATTTCCTAAGTATTACTGCTGTTATAAAAAAAAGAGCAATTTGACTATTTCAAAGAGCTGAAAGGGAATGAATATTGAAGAACTAATACTTGCAAAGAGGCAAACATAAACAGTGTGCAGAAAAGCTTTCCCGATGGACAACAATGTTTTGAAACTCCAAAACCTTACTGAACTAACTACACACAGGATCTGCCTAGCACATCATCACAGCTGGACTAAACTAAAGTTCCTATAGCATTTGCTTTGGAACAAAATGCTATAGCCTTTATGACCTTACCAGTTTATGTTTTTTTGTATAAATAGTCCAGAGGTCCTAAATGAAAAACAACACCATGAACTACCAAATTCCTTTCAAAACACAACAAAACAGAGTAAACAGGTTTCTCAAGTCTACTGTTTCCTCAGTGCACTGTAGCTACCCATTAACTAAAGTGATACTCCAGATAAGCTACCCAAATCCACCGTCACTGACTCAGACAAATCCACAGGAGGTATGTGCCTGAGCAGGAGCTCATCAGATCTGCCCCAGCATCCACCTGCCTTTCCTGCTGCTGCTCTGCAGAGGACCCCACTTACCCGTGACTCGCCTTCTCCTCGCCATTCAAGTCGGTTTGGGAAGAGGTAAAAGTAACGACGTTGCCACTGAGTCAAGAAGGGGTTCCCCAGTTTCAGCATGTATCCATGCATGATACAGTCCTTCCCCAGGGCATAATCTACAACAAGAGGAAGCATTAGTATGCAGAACAAAGTGCTGCCAAAAGCATTCTGCAAGTGTGCTGTGTTAAGAAAGGGCATGGCCCTGAACAAAGGGTGACTCCACATGCCCTCAACAGGTTTGCAGTAGTGCTTCATGTGCCCAGGCAGACACAGAGCCCATTCTGCCCTAATTACACAGGCTGGTGCAGTGAAGTAATCAGAAGCAGAATTCAGTTCTTATGCATTAACTATTGAAAGAATTATATATTGCTACCCAAAGTTCAGTTTGTGCTGAACACCCTCCTGCAAACAAGCGAGGTTTGCTGTAACGGACCTCCTGTTTGCTTTCTCAGCTTCTCTGTCATGACACCAAATCCCACATAGTCTTTTCTGAGCACACACCACCAACAAAAGCGATGAAAGGCTGCACATGATATTCTTTAAAAGAGAGTACAAAAGGTTTTCCAAAACATTATGTCATCATACAGCATTTCAAAATATTAAGAACCATCTTAAGAAACACGACACTGACTAAATGAATTCTAACAATTACTGGTGAATGACAGTAATATGGGAGTCTGCCGTGTGAAACTTCAAACACATGAATTACTACCTCGCAGCAAAAGATGGAGACAAGTGTATTTGACAGATTACCTTCCTCGTGGCCAAGTTGCTTATTTTTAGCCCTTTTTCTGGCCTCAATTTTATCTGTGTCTGCATTTACTGCATCATAAACAGTTTCTGCTACTTCTTGCTGCCAACGCTCCGATATTACCAGAGGGAAGTTCTTATATAATTCCTGGTCACTATCAAGCAACTTGCAAGAGAAAAACAACATAAAAACACCAACATTTTAATAACTTATTACTATTCTTATCCCCAATAGTTAATAGCAACCCACATTAATAGCATTATTTTAAAAGAGGAACTCTAATGTTAACAAAACAAACAGGTACAAACAAAACACAAATATCCACTTAAGCAAAGATATTAACGTATAAGCACAAAGATACTAATTCATACACAGAGAATAGGCCACCTATTCAAAACTTGTTTGGTCTGATAGCTCTAAAAGCCTCACTCAGCGTTGCCCCATCATGTTCTCTAGGCTTTACCTTTATCTAATTCCTTAAACGCAAGCACTGTTCTTAACGTGGCTGCATAAAAAGTTTCTCAGCATAAATATCCCAGAATAAATGAAAAGATACCTTGTACACCAGAGTGCCTTCCATGCTTCCACAGCCAAATTCTGCATTCTTAACCATTAAGCTTCAACAGTCAGCAGTGCATGCTCACACCTCAGTTTCCCTGTTACATGAATTCTTTCTCCCCTAATCCTTAACTACAGTCCTTGAATTGCACTGGAGGCAACTGAAATGATTGGATCTTCAGGAAGGACATGTAGGTAGGCCAAGGGGAATGGCTTGAACCTGCCAGAGGGGAGACTGAGATGAGCTCTTAGGCAGAAGCTCTTCCCTGTGAGGGTGCTGAGGCGCTGGCACAGGGTGCCCAGAGGAGCTGTGGCTGCCCCATCCCTGGCAGTGCTCAAGGCGAGGTTGGACACAGGGGCTTGAAGCAAGCTGCTCCAGTCCCTGTCTGTGGCAAGGGGTTGGAACTGGGTGATCTTAAGGTCCTTTCCAACCCAAACCAGTCTGGGATTCCATGACCACAGCAGGAAAAACCACGCTGAATCTCAAGTCAGAAGACCTCGGTGCAATTGGGTACATGTGGTTTATAGGGATTCCTGATGGCATCTGACTAAGAGAGGAAAGCTGTGGGCATCCACTGTTGGCTTTCCCGCTTGTAACCTCAAAGAACACATGTTCTTCTCTGTGTCACAGGACACTGCAGTATAAATATCACCCTCAGCGGCAAGGGAGGAGACAAGGCACTCAGAACTGGCATCCTCACGGGCAGAGGCGGCTCCTGACACCTCAGTGGGAGCTCCGGCTGCAGCTGACTCAGAGGCAGGAATTATTCAGTCCCTTCTAAAAGGCTGTGACGTCCCAGCATGAGCGCAGAGCAAAGAAGCTGTACATGATACCCCTCACTGACTCATGACTAAGAATAAACTTCTCTTATAGGCGGCCTGAACAAAGATTACCTGGAAATGATCTGGCTACACTAGTGTCAGGCCTTCCTGAGCGTATCTGATCCCCACAAGAAAGAAAAAGACCACCCAGCTTCTCACTGCAAAATGTTCCTCTGAATTACAGCACTCCAGAATTGCAGGAAACTGGAATCCTGTTAGTCTAACATTGACAACGTGGAGTGTTCTGGGATAAAGAACATCTTGGGTTCTCTGAGCTGCTCTTTAAACACGTAAAACCTTTTCTGTGCCAACTTCTGTAATTACAGCAGGTGACACTGTCAGACAAGTTCCTTTTTGGCACATGGAGTACTTAACATGTGGTTTTGATCATAAAAGTTTAGAGCAATTAGTTTCCCTCCTGACTCACTTCTGTGCTAACGAGAATAAAGTCTGAGCTACTGAAGACATGCATTGTAAGAATAAAGACCAGGACCGACCCAAGACAAGCACTGATTCACTTCTTGTCTCCAAGTGCCCAGGAAGCACTGGGAGCGGGATGAAAACACAGGGTGCATCACACCCCCTCCATGTGTGTTAGCAACAGGCCAGCAGCTTTAACTTCCCATTCTTCACTTAAATTCTTTTAAGTGAAAAACGGGTTTGGATACTATCAGAACCTGAAGGTTTCTTTTTATCACTTTCCTAGCTTGTAAAGGTGCTACCATTCACACACGGCTATTCATTCTGAAGAGCTTCCCAGTGTCCACTCTGACCACAAAGTAACACTATTAAAATAAGGTTTAGGTCCATTTCTGCAAGCTACCAAGAACAAATTAGAGTTTTTAAAACTACAAACCATTAAGAATTCTTGAAAATCTGAGGATTTCCCAAAAGCCATCTGACCATTTGGAATATTTGCTTTATCCTATGAAACTTTTGACAGGAAGGTAGATTTCAGTCAATCTAAAAAGTAAAATGTAAGGGCTTAGCATGCAACAACAAAGCAGCCAAGCAGCCTGAGCTACCTCTTTCATAACAGCATGGATTAAGTTCCCAAGGTTGAAAGTAATCCCTTGCACACTCGGTAGCCCGGGAGCAAAGGAACGGCATGCACATGGCAAGTTAAGCATGGCAGCCATTCTGTACCCATCAGTTAAAGCTGTGTACCTTAATGCCCTTAGTGTCCTCTTCATCAAATGACCCAATATCAAAAGCATCCGCTGCATTTACTTCTCCCCGGGGAGGAATCAATGGTGGAGGATACTAGGAATTAAAAGCAGCAGAATTAAAGACAAATTCATGGATGTTACTGAAATCAATAATATATCCCAGCCTGTTTATTTTTTGCACAGATTATACTCGACTGCAAAAATATGTCCCTTGAAATTCAGCTTCAGCCCAGAGTTGTTCTCCTTTAGTAAATGCTCCTCCAAAAATCCAGGGAGAAAACCCCACAGTTTAGAGCCAGCAAAGCAGCAGGCACCATGCAGTCATTTAACCCTGAATAACTCAGAAATGAGGAGGAAGACTTGCAGTAATAAGCATACAGCAGTTTGCCTCAACCACCCTCCACATACTCATGCAAGTGAGTACAAGACTGGAACGCTGCAGTTTTCTGGCCATGATCTGTTTGGGCTTATTTTCCTTTATTGCTTTACCAAACAATCTAAGATTACTATCCCAACCCTTTACCTTTTGTAAATAGACTTGCTGCCAATCAATGCCCTTGAAGAACGCATGTTCTTTTACTTCTTGTGCACTGCAAAAGAAAAGCAACTGAAGTTAACAAGGAGACAGGGCTTTTCAAATGTATTTGAGGAACAGCCTTCAGAGGTCACATTTCTATCACTTGAAAACATCAGGAAAATGTTTTCTTTTTTCTTTTTCAAGGAAAAAAAAAAAGTTTTCCTAAGCAAACAACAGAAGACTTTCATGTGGAAACAGTGCTGTAGGGCTGGCAAGCAATCCCTACCGGTTTGCTATGCTAGTCCATCATTTCAAACAACACCCATCTGTCAGATCCCATATACTACTTCCACGTAACAAGCTTACTCCACACTATTTCATATCGTACATATTTTATGGCAAAATAAGCAACTCCTCTGGATACGCCCCAGGCTGAAAAGCAATCTCAGGTCACCCTCAGAGGGCTCCATGATAAAAACTGCCTATCCCTCTGGAATCAGAGCCAGCCCAGCCTCAGGTGTGACTCTCAATTAGCTGTTATCACGCCTTGCCAATGGATTCTCAACGGTTGTTTATTCCTCCCATTGTTTTATCTCTGGGCTCACCCTGGCTTTCTGAGGTGATAAAGCAGGTTCAGTGAGCAGCTACGAGAAAGGTAAGCTTCGGCTGGAGCAAGTCAGGTTTTGTAGCCAACAGACCAAAAAATGCCCCTTTCCTTACAGTCACAGAACAAAAGAGGAACCCAAAATGAAATAAGCGTTCACAGCTTTCTGTGCTTGGGGGTTTGGGGTTTTCTGCGTGCAATATATCATTACAGATACAAGATAAGCGGTAAATGTTAAGCTATCAGTAAGGCTGAGTCAAGTAATGTGACTTCCTGCCAAAACGGATCAGGCAAAACCATGAAAACAGCACCGGGATGTACAGTACAACCACCACCCAATGTGAGCATGACTGCAGGGAGCTCGGGGAAGCCTTCAGGAACAGAAATTGTCCAAGAACTTGTCCAAACCAAAGGAAGCTGAAATGTTACTCCATGCACCATGTTCTCTTTCCAAAATTAAAGTCATCACAACAGGAAGCAGATTTTGACATGAAACGAATTCACTCATTTACAGAGAAGTGGAAATTTTTCAAGGCAGCAATCCAAGGAGAAGACAACACCTACCTTCTTCCTTGGCACCCCAGCCTCTTGCTAACATCCCGCTGCAGGAGCCCTTCCAAAAGGGACTTCAGTTCAGGAGAAAATGAATCCGGGAGCTCCACATTCTATGAAGAACAGAAGCACAAGAGATGTTTCATTATACAAATGGTGTGATCTGCTTTCCCCACACAGGAGAGTAGTTTTTCTTTCATAGTGCTTGTAAGCAACTCTTCCACATGCAAAAGCAGGCTCCAGAGCTCCAGTTTTTAAGGAGATGGGAATTTTCTAACCCAGAACAATGTAAGTGCCACCCTCACCAGGATCTTACCACGGTGAGCGTCATCCGGTCGATCTCATGCTTATCTTTGGTTTTGTGCTGTCTGAAAGGACTGTGACTGTAGAAATAAGAGAATGCACAGTCAATGGAAAGCCATAACACATCAGGTTATTGCAGCAGGAAAGAGCATAGCATCCCCTTAGTCCCATTCTTCCACCTCATTAATCCTGTCCTGCAGAACATGGAACAATTAGTAACACACTAAGCATTTACAACACTGGCATGCGGTGGCTACTAGCTATCTCCAATTTACCTGGTAAATTATCAGCTCTGTCCTTTTCCTGCTTCATAGTTCTGAGCTTGAACTTTTCCTTTTAGCTATAGAAGACCATCCAATATTTACAGATTTAAACAACCACAAAAGCAGAAACATTTTAGTATGAGATTTTTTCATTAGATTTAGGCTATATTCCCTGTTTCTCAGTTTTCTTTAAAACCTTGAGGGAAAGGTGTTTTTCAAAATTAAGATGTAATTTACTTATCAATACATTATTGTATCAGAAACCATTTTGTCTTGCCACATGGCACTGGGTACCAGCTTGTTTCAACTGGGGATCTGCTATTCAAAGAGTTATTTCCCTTTTATAATCAAAAATGCTTCTGATGAATGGATCCGATGGATGGACCAGGAATTCCATTCTTTTGGCTTTAAGCATGACAAGTAAGAAGACAAGAGTAACAGCCTCAGGTACTGTGATGGTGAGGCTCTGTAGATCAGGGAAGCAAATGATTCACTGGGGACTTATGGGCAGATTTTGTGCCAGACTAAATTCACTAAGCACCAAGAAATGGCACCATGTGCCCAGCTTGTTTGAGATGTGAGATGTTTAATTGCCTTCAGAACAGATGAGGAAGGAGAGCTCACAGTGAATAATGCTCTGGCTTCTGTCCGCCCACCGATACCACCCCACACATCTCTGTCAGGAGGAATTGCAGCCCATAAGGACTGAGATCCCCCCACCCTGTAAGCCTGAGTGCCTGTAGTAGATGGCATTGCTTGTCTCTAGGTGCTAGTTCTTTCATCACACGACTTTAATCCTGTGAAGGAAGAACCACAGCAGTCAGTGGTCTTAATCCTCTGGGCTCAAATGACTTAAAAGGATGTCTCAGAAGGAAAGATGAGGAACCCACAGTGGTCCCAAATGAAGGATGCTCTCCCCTCTGCTCCCAGCAAACCCCAGCATCCTGCTACCTCCTTCAGTGGGTGATTACAGACACAGGACGGCTCCCAGCTGCCTGATGCTATCTGTACTTAGAAATACTTCTTTTCCTGGCAATTTAAACACTTTTGCTTTCTTTATTTGCACACTTACATTTAGTCTAGTTTGTGAACAATTACTGTTAAACTGATACAGCTCTGTAGTTCTACTCAGAAGCCACACACCTTTAGTACAGTGTCTGGGATAGAGGTAAGAGCTTATAATTAATTAGGTGCAAGGACACTGGGTGATCCAACTAATGATCAGTCTTTACAGAGAAGCACTCTGAAAAGCTTAAAACATTTCTTCTGTTTCACCATTAATACTGAGGATGCTACTTCCATCAAGCACTTGCCAATCAGCGCTTATTGATTCAGATAAATCCCATAATCTTAATAAATTCTATGCAGCCACTTTATTGAGAAGGTAATGGTTGACAAGGCTGTAATTATCATGTATTTTTGTACACCAATATGGTAACAGGCCAGATTCAACAACTGGAAGACTCCATACATTACAACTACAGGAGGAAAGATTTCATGTAAAAAGGGAACAGTTTCATCACAAGAGCAGGTCTTAAGCATAAAATGAAGCCCATCATTTAACAGGGCTGCTGGTGTATTTAAGCAGTGAATAACATCCTACCATTTAAAATACTAACAATTGCCAAAAGATGAGTAAACTGTGTATCAGTAGAAGTCAAAAGAGTGGATAGAGCATCTGCTTTCCTCCCTGCTCCACACCTGCACCTACTAAAGGAAGCAGGGCTTGTTCCTTGTTTGGTTTGGAAGCAAAAAGCCTGGTTTAGCCTCACATGCAGACATGGTCCACACTGCAGAGATGGCAGTAAGATACCACTTCAGATGCAGTGCAATACGCTACATATTAGTACTTCAAGGGACAGACAATGACGAGGCTCAGGCTAAAAAGCACACAGGACATGAAACCTCACTCACCCCCTCAGGAGTTTGAAAAGCATGCAGCCCAATGAGAACCAGTCTGCGCTGCTATCGTACGCGGTTCCCTTCTGGAGCACCTCGGGAGCCATGTAGCCGTGGGTACCTCTGAGAAGCAGAAAGGGACAAAATCTTGATTACAACCAGAACTATCACTGACAAAATAATTCAAAATTGCTGTTTTCTCAGTAAGATAGCCTAATTTAAGAAGAATTCTTTTTAAACTTGATTTTATTTTGCTTTTTCTGTGGCCTGACATACATATGCATGTTTTGTTTGTGTGTATCTATTGAGGAAATACCTTCAAACATGAACAACAGAGGTGATCAGGCAAACGGAAGCAGAGATTTAGCAGAGCAAGTGCAGGGGTCAGTCAGTAGCTTCCATCTAAGAGTGGACACAACAGAGAGATAGGAAGGTTGCCTACTCGGTTCATTCAGTTCACAGGGAACACGGATCCCAGGACACAGCACCAGATCACTCCAGCCCTGGGCTCAGTAAGGCTGAGACCTGCTCCTGCCCCCAGCCCAGAGGTGAGCAGAGCTGCCTCCTCCTCTCCTGAGGTGTTCCACATGTCTCTTTCCAACTAACAGCGTGATGTAACAGGAGAACGCATCCACCAGAAGTCATGGCTGGTCACCGCTAGAAAGCAGTCACCGTGCACTGCTTTTATCCTTGCTGTAACTGGAACATAGGGATTTTCCCAAGAACCCACTGAATTGCAGATCTTTGAAGGTATGACAGGATGAAGCTTTCCTTTTTGCATAAATTCCGAGACTAAATCAGGGCTAATGAGGACCTAAGAATAAAACTTGCCAGATACGATGTGGAATCCACACACAACCCAAGAAACTCACATCCCAGTTATGACCCGATGCTAAGAGGCAGAAAGGAACACAATTTGCCTCCATTTCTACAAAGCTCCAGGGAGAGAAAGACACAATAAACCCTATTTTTTAGTCAGTTTAGGAATATTTAATTATCCATTTAGGACAATTAAAACAATCTGGTACTTTAACTCAGTTCTTCTTTGAGCAGTGAATCATCTCAAAATGATGCGTCATCTTCCAGCCATGCCTACACATCAGCTGCTACAACTGTGCAGGAAAACAGAGAGAGGAGACTGAAAAACCTTATTAGAGCTGAACCCAGCTCAGCTGCGTGCCAAAGCAAGCCTATACCACACAAGTGTTACCTTTATTCCTTAAGGACTCAGCACTAGCCGTATGTGCAGCAAAGCCCCCAGATGTAATACTTACACACTGGCATGGGGCTTCTTTTTGGAGAAGTCACAAGCCAGCCCAAGGTCTGATATCCTCACGTGCCCGTGTTCATCCAACAAGATGTTTGCAGGCTGGAAAGCCAGAGGCACAGAAAGGTTACTGTCTGGTATGTTACAGCTCTCTGAACACAATAACTCATCCTCAAACATCAATACTCTCTTGTAACTGGTAATTGCTTTTTGGGTTTTTTTATGTCAATGTAACAGCCACTTTCTAGCTCTAATCAACATTCTAATGGAGCACCACCAACCCCACAGATTATGAAAGACTGAAGAATAACAAAGCACATGACAGAATAAATCCCATTTGGCCTCAAGTCCACACCACTCTGGTATTAGTCTCTAACTTAATAGCATCATTAAGCTGGTGAGATGAGTAACACTGCACAGGAGTCATTCTGACCCGAAGGAAGCATTTTCCAGGCAGGTTAAATTGGGTAACAACTCAGATCAGAACTCTTGAAAAGTATTAGAAAAATCAGCCAAAGATGAACAAATAATCTGTATTCTTCCCCACAAAAGGTTTAAGGCAGGATAATTGAACCTGTGAGTGCACTTGCTGCTGTCTAGCACCGGGGTGAAAGCAGTTGCTGTTCACAATTACCTTGAGGTCTCTGTATACAACGAAGCGATTGTGCATGTGTTCTAAGCCCAGGATGATTTCAGTAGCATAAAACCTCATCTCTTTTTCAGAAAAGACTCCGTGCTGGGAGAGGTGGTAGTGCAAATCTCCTCCTGAAATGAGCAGAATTGAGATGCCATTAAAGGAACAGTCAAAGCTTGCCTCACAGGCAGAGAGCAGGATGCTGTGGGGAGCAGGGAGCTATTTGCAGGTTCTTAGAACCTGTGGAGCTCAGAGACCCAGCCCTACACTCTGCAAGTACCAATGGGGACAAAATACCTGAGAAAGGTAATAAATGAATCTCATCAATCTGAAACTCTGTTTTAAGAATACATTTACTTCATATACATTTGCATTCAGTGACTAATCCAGCAACTGAGTCTCAATGTAAAGGATTTACACAGCAAGTAAAACGCTGTGTAAGAGCAGGCACAACACAACGTCACTCTGTGAGCTAAGCCATGCCATCACCACATCAAATCGTGAATATTCCTAGGAAAGAGTCCAAGTCCCACAGACACCCAGCATCCTCAGCAAATATGGGCACTGCAGCACCTTCTCTCTCTTAACTCCACCAATTCCTCTCTGTGTCCTCACAAGAGGTAGGTTGAGGCTTCTAGGTATGAGTTCTTCCCTTATGATGAATGCTTTCCCCCATCAACCCTTTGCAAATCTCTATACAGCAGCCCTTTTATTCTGAAAGCTGTTCCCGGATGTCCTTATATATTTCTCCACATGACCAGCATTTCCCCAAGCTTCTAGCCTGATGGGCCTTTTGGAACCTTTACTTAAATATGTCAATATTTTAAGGTTACAGAGATTTTCCAGCCTGTTCTATACATCCCCTGGTTCAGATCAATTTACCCCTGGGTGCTTGCAGGCCACTGCTTCACAGCTCGAGTTATTTTTCCCTCATTCTCCTTATGATCTCTACAAGTCCTCCTGCCAGCATTTCTGTAATACCACCATCATCTGCATGAGTCTTGCTTACCATTCATCAGGTCCAGAATGAAACAGAGTTTGTCAGGGGTGTGGAAGGCATAGGTCATACACACTATAAAAGGACAGTCCTAGAAGGAAAGGAGCAAAGAGTTCATTTGGGTAATAAGCAATGTACCACTTAGAGAAGCTAAAAATACATGGGATGTTCTTCCTGTGATATCTGCCCATATTCATAATAGTTTCCTAAAGCAATCTCATCTACACACTCTGATGTTTCACTTACACTTTAGAGAGCTCAGATTTTGCTATGACGAGCCAAAGGCTTAAAAAGTGCAGCAACCATCACTATCCTCTGAAGACCTGCACCTACAGCAGCTACAAATATTCCCCTTACCTGAGCTTGCACAAGACTTACATAAAGATACATCAAAGCTGGAAAGCTCCAAGCCAGCTCAGGGAGAAATAAAGCTGCTCCTATGAAGTCTAAAGGGTACACACTATTTCTCACAATTGCATGGTGAATGTTCAGCTGTTGGAGCACTGACTGCGAATCTGAGTCACGTCCCGTACCAAATCCCAAAGGCAAGAAGGTGTTATCCTCACCTAGACATTAAATGCAGCCACACTGGTGCCAATCCCTGCAGAGCTGCACTGGGGGGGGGGACAGCCACCCGCTGCTGCCCTGCAGCCCCCCAGCAGCACTAGCAGCAGATGGTTAAAGGGAACATAACACACCAGGAAGGAAGCCACAGCTCTGATGAGTATGTGATGCCTGGGAAGCAGGAACAGCAAGCTCCAGACTACGCAGAACCCAGAAAACAAGTGTGGTGAGTGCAGATTTAAGTGTCACTGCAGGGTGGCCGTGCATGGGGATGGTTTACACTGCCACTGCTTGATGCACTGGAGCCTTAATTCACACAGATGTTTAAGACAAGTAGCGCTTGAAAACAGAGCTGGGAAAACACCTCAGCTCCCACTGATCTGTTCAGTGTGCTGGTACCTCTGTAATGCACAGGCCATGGAAGAAAGCTGGCAGAACGTCCTCTCTTCATCAGGCCTATATTGGATGCTAACTAACAGGGGGTGGCTATTACCTGGTCAAACCCTTCTCCAAAGCCATATGAGACCAGGGCTGTTTGGTTAGTCTATAGTGAAAGCTTAAGGAGTGGCTGTGCTACTGAAGCAGACTGGGCTGCACAGTAACACCAACAGACAACGGTCTGACCCCAAAGCACTGATGGGAAGATGGGCCAAGACGAGCTTAACTGCTGATGAGCGAGGCCAGCAGGCAGGAAGCACGAATGTGACCTACCACGACTTAAACAATGAGTTAATTACTGCAGGACTGATAGTGAAAGCTCTGGGAATCTCTAACAGGAACTCGCTTCCTTCCCAATTTAGAAGCAGCAAAACACAGTGGCCTTGGGCAGAGCGGGGGATGCGGAGCCGGCTCCGGAAGGGAGGGAACAGCCACACACACACTCCAACCCCACCAGCCACTGGGACAGCTCAGGTCAGCTCATCCTCCCACAGGCCAAAACCAGATAAGGTTGAAATGTGAACCTCTCTATACTTGACTGAATTCCAGTGATTCCCACACTGCATGGACCAACCCTGCTGCACCATTCAAATCTAACTGTGTTTTATTGCTACTGTGCCCATACCAATCCCCAGTGCAGAAGGCAAGCACATGTCTGAAACGTGTGAAAATAACTGCTAAATGGTCCTAGAAACAAGGAGGCTCTAGGCAAGGCTGTATGGCATCTAACAAAAGACATTACCTCTTGTTACAAACTCCATATCCTGTAGTTCCAACTTAACTTCAGAGCAAAACCTTCAGTAGAATTATTAACTTGATTTTCTAAATCAACTGGATAATTCAGCAGTGTCCCCAACCAGGCTTCCTAGTGCCTTAGAGCAACCTAATTACCCAGAAGGATCAGAATTTAAACACCAGACACAGAAAAAGAAAGGGCACCATCTATACCAGTGCATCTGTATTTTTATGGATCTCATTTTTTAAAGGAACTCTGCAGGTGTAAATGTGATGCATAAGTCATTTTTGTGTAAGCCTTCCTCATTTAATCACTACCCTTAATAAGAGAGCTTCACTGCCTAGTGTTCTCAGAACAGGAGAACTAGGAGACACAGCAGAGTGGATGGAGCCCCAGCAGCGCAGAGCCCCTACCTCCTAACACAGACTGCACCTTTTGGCACACTGCTGCTATACAGCCCATGAGCAGCCATGGTCCCAGTTGACCTCGGTGCGCTGGGTTTGAACCGAAGTTAGGCAAACACTGGCTATTACAGAAAGCAAATATTTTTCTTTCTTTTAACAGAAAGTAAAATATTTTCCATACTCTGCTATTTCCCAAGAACTTCAAAACCTATTCCCAGCATCCAGCTTGAACATCTCCATGGGACAGGAAGCCAGGGCCTGTATCTTGCAGCAGAGGAAACACAAACCTCACCAACAGTCTGTCTGTGTTACACCAACCATCAGTGACAAAGCACAGGCCACGGTGGGGAACCCCCATTTGGTGCTATGTGACCAAGCCCATCAGCTCCCTGTCTCCTTAGTGATGTCCACCCCACTGCCAGGGCTGTGCTCATCTGCAACATCACCATGAGAAGCTGCTCTCACAAGGCAGCCACGATGGGACTCAAGTCTGGCAGCTCCCTGCTGAAGAAGCGGTTGTGAGTGTCAACGTTTGAGAACCAAATCTGATTACACAAAGGTATGTGTAATCTGTGCAGCTGTTAGTATGTGCTGTGAGAGACATCTGGATTCCCAGTTTCATGACTAATTGTACTGCAATGAACTTCCCAGTTCCATTTTGCTCCAGGCAGCACATCAATCCTGTCACTGGGCAGAGCACGCGCCATGCAAACCTAACAGCTCAGATTCAGGAATTAAATGAATTACCTTGTTCTACCCCTTGCAAACCTATTGAATTCTGCATATTCAGAACGTTCCAGCATCTCGTGTTGGCTGATGTGCCTATGTCCCTGAATGGGCAGCATTCTGTACAAAACCTCTCTTCAAACTCGCTTTCAGGTTTCTATGAATCTAAAACCAGTTTCTCTCCAATGAGCTGATAATCAATGAAAAAATAAATGGGTTGTCCTGCTTTTCTGTTGCTCAATGACGAGCTCTGTGCTGTCAGGTAAGAAAACTACCCCCACCATTAGCAGCCTTGGGAGCAATTTTCTCTTTGAATTGCTAGACATGAGAATTCACAGTCAGTTCTGCAGCAACAGAACCACAAATTGAAGTTAATAGGACAATTATTACTAATTTGCCCATATTTCTTGTCTAGTCTCCGCTACAGAACTTCACCCTCTGGCTCTGGAAACTCCTGACACTTCTGGAGAAGCCACAACTTCTCTTTGGTGAAACAGTTCACTTGATTAATAAAAGTCTAACTGATAAATCCCAATCGCATCACTGGGCTGTGGCCAACTGTATGAGGATCACCAAGGCCCAGGGCTGGGTTCTGCAGGTGGGTCTCAAGAACCCCACACAATGCTCCAGGCCTGGGGAATAGTGGCTGGGAAGCTGCCCTGAGGAAAAGGACCTGGTTGGTGTTGGTCAATAGCCACTGAATATGAACTTGTGCCCAGGCAGCCAAGGCCAAGAGCATCCTTGCTTGTGTTAACACCAGTGCGGCAGCAGGGCCAGGGCAGTGGCTGTCCCCCTGCACTGGGCACTGGTGGGGCTGCACCTCAAATCCTGTGTTCAGTTCTGGGGCCCTAACTGCAAGAGAGACATTGAGGTGCTGGAGCGGGGTCAGAGAAAGGCAATGGAGCCGGTGCAGGGCCTGGAGCACATTCCATTCTCATTTCAGGCACACTGCTACAATCAGGGGGAAGGCTCCAGGAGGAGTTAATATTTGCATGTTACACAACTGAATTAATGGAATATGTATTATATGTAACAGCTTTTATATTACATGGAAGAAAAAGAAGAAATAAAATAATAATAAATCAGTGATACTTACTCCTGTACTGACAAGAGACAGCATAATTCTTTCATTTAAGGCTAACGTTTCTCCTTGCTTCATCTTGATTCTCTTCTTATCTAAACATTTCATTGCATACCTGAAAATATTAACTGTTCAGAAAAGGCACCAAAAACACTCCCTCCTTACTCAGAGTTATTCACTAACAGTTATGCCATGCACATTTCAATATCCTGTAAGCAAGCTCTTTAAAGACTTAAACCTGGTACTAAAAACATCATTACACGACTAAACAAGCAAACCTCCAACATCTCAGGGTTAAGACATTTTCAGCTAGAAGCCTCCTAACACAGAAATGTGCTGTAAGAAACAATTCTGTGTCCAAACCACCACAGAGATTGAGGTGTTACATATCATACATCCATTTATTAACACCTACAAGCAGGGCTTTGCAGTATGAATTAAGTAGCAGGCACTATTACAGTTACATGTAATTCTAACAGTTTCTGCGAGGAAAATAACATCCTGAACACATGCTGAGTTTTGATTTGAAGTTTTCTTTCTACTCAGAGGTCAGATATACACAAGAAAGCTTTTTTTTTTTTCTAAATCTTCTACCATCTGTATTACACAAATTAATGCCATTTTGCTCAAAAGCAGAACGTTACCCTAACAACCATCAAACAAGAGGAGGGTATTTCATAGTCTGGCTATTTGGTGAAGACAGTAGGTGAGCTCACTATTAGGCAATAGCTGAGGAGGAGACATGTGCTCCTGCATAGATGATTTCTAGACTCGGGCAACCACGGGTTTTTAGGCCACTGATGTTAAACTGCGCTGAGGAGAACACCGTGTTACAGCACTGCATCGATGCTCATCAACTGCCTACGCTGCCAGCTCTGCACAGCCACGGGGCCTCGCATCACCTCGCCCTGCACTCCCTCGACAAGCCACGTCATTCCTGCCATGCATGTGTGGTGAGTGGGGGAAGAGTGAGCGTGAGCATCCCGGATTCTGCGTTTCCAAAACAAGGAATATATTCACAGCACGTGCTCCTGCTGGGGAGTCTGCAGACGCTGACTATAAATAACACTGCACATGCTGTCCTTGATTTACGCTTTGACTCCACTGATCAAGTGAATGACAGGGGCTCTTCAGAGCTGACCAAGACGGGGAACCTCATCCTCATGTGGAACTGCATGCTTCCAAAGCATTGCAATCCCTCCCCCTTTAGACTGCTTTCTGCATCATGCTTCTGGCCCCTATTTAGATGCCCTTGAAGGAGGTGATGTGAAAGAAGCCTCAGGTGTGTCTTTGTGGGTTAGTGAAACACCGATGGCATTTACCTTCGAGGGGTGGCTTCCCAAGCTCCTTGCAGGCAGTAAGTGCAGCAGAGGCAGCCATCTACAGTGGACGGGATCTGGATTAGGGATGGGTAAACAGGTTTGGATTAAGAAAGAACTAAACCAAACCTTTACCCAGCAACTGAACCTAATCTGAAGGTTTGCTTCAAATTGGAAATAGGTTGGTTTATCCCACATTGCACTTCCCTTCACTCTATTTATATCTAATAGAACCTGTCCTTTGCTTCACTTGCTAGTCCCAAGGTTTATCCACCTCCTGAGACATGAAAATGCCTGGGAATCTGTCAACTACCTCTTCAGGGTGGATGCCTACTGATTGTGGCTCAAGCTAAGTAAGATCTTTAGTTTTCTACATGGACAAATTAACAAACTGTACACAGACAAAAAAGTCCCTAAGCAAGAATAGAGACAGTATTGTTAGTAATAATATTAATATAAATACTTGAAGTCACTGCAAAAATACTGAGCATGACAGTAACATTAAGATGTCTTCCACTTGTTAATAGCTCAGAAGTTTATTATTATCAAGGATGCCAAGCACACAGCACTGCCAGTGAAGCCAGCTGTAACTGCAAACACTTGGCTCGTCAAACATGCCAGTGCTTACTTAGAAGAGGAATGTGTAAGGATGGTCCCTGGACTAAAATTGTTTGGAGAAAAGCAAGTTGAAAGGGGTGGGGTGGAATGTAAATAAACAGATAGAGAGATATTGAGAAGGCTTTGTTAAATCAATGCCCAGATTTTCCAAAGAGAACATAATGGGGCAATTAATGCCTAGAGATTGAAATCTGATGATCAAGGGAAGGAAGTGTGTGAATGGTAAGACCAGAAAAAGGATAAAACCCACAGAGGGTTGATCTTGGAGTTCCCACTGAAAGCTCTGTTAAAGAGAACTTCAACACTGGAACTATATTCTACCAAATGTAAATAAGGATCACTGCTTTCACCAGTGAAACGTGCTCTTCATGGCACAAACACGCAATCACACATAGCTGGAATTCCATGTTCAGAACCTGCTCAGGCCCGACCCTGCAGGTTGCACAGCACTGAGGTCCTGTCCCTACACCATCAATGAGGTGATGTCCTTACATCAGCACCAGTTATGGGATGGGCTTCATTGTGTGAGGAGCAACCTCCAGGAGACGAAAGGCACCACCTCACACCACCACCATGGCTTTCACAGGGACCCGGTCCTGCACCGTCAGGCTCCGAGCCAGGAAATCAGTTAAGCACACGCTTCATTTTAAACACATCTGCCCTTTCCATTACCTCTGCAAAGACCATTTAAATGTAGGATGTGCTTAAGAGCTCTGCTAGACTGAAGCCCCACTGCATGGCATGTAACAGGATCAAATATCAAACTAAGCTTAAAGATGATCCAGAAATCGGAACCTCTTGAGATAACATTTAATTACAAAGAACTACAGAGTAACGTGACGCTGCTTCCCAGTGGTTTGGTAAGAAACAACTGGAAGGATTTCCTTACTAGTAGAGAGCTTAGCATTGCCTCTAAAATAAAGCGGGTGTATACTCACATTTTTCCAGTGTCTGCTTTTCTGCAACCATACACTTCACCAAATCCCCCTCTTCCTATTATTCTATGTACACTAAAATCATTCATGGTCAGCTGTAAATGCAAAAACCAGAGCAAAAACCAGATTCAATTTGCAGCATTACAAAAACTTACTGTAAAAAACATCTAAAGAACCTATTCATGTGTTAAGATATTTAACAAGTGTAATTCATGTAACATGCATTGTTTTGGAAGAAGGAGCTCCTTATTGTTTCTATTTCAACCTACTTGCAAGCAATTACTCAAAAAGGAACATGTTCTTCCTTTGACAAGATAAATATACTTGGAGGTACTTACATGAATATTTAGTTCTACGTTTTTCCATTGACAGAATCTAGTAAACTTGTCACTGTAGGGAAAAAAAGTTTAAAAGTGGTCTGAGACACTGTGTAAAGCATCATAGGAAGCATCAAGACTCTGCTGTGTAAAATAACCAGGGTACGTGGTGCTACTTAGCAAATGACAGTCTCCCTTTCAAAACACTGTAATCCTACCCCCACCAAGAAAACAATTACTAGCAGCGCATGCTTCAGATTTTACATCCTTATAGGAGAAAGACATCAGATAATCCTATCCCTGTAAGTGCTCGCTGTCCTCATATCTCTCCTTCAGATGGTTTTTAACTTTTAAAACCAACTAAAATTGGAACTAACAAACATTTAAATTACAGAAAAGAGAAAGATAACTGTAAGATAACTGTAAGAAAACAGAGGCAGCTCGATTCATGCTAATGAGTCTCTATATACTCCAAGGAACATTTTAAACTAATTTTATCTTAAAATAGGAAAAACACTGATAATACCACAAGCTGTCGCAAAGAAAAAAATCATTTCTTATTTCTACACAAATAATGAAGTATTTATCTTCAGAGTAAGAAATAACAGTTCTACAGAAGGATTTTTACCATCATCTCTGTCTTGTGTTCTTTACTAGACCTTTCCTGCTTAACTGCGGGGTGTCCAGATACAAACCACGTCTTTCAGTCAACACTCAAGAGAATCTCCCCCAAGAACACAGTTCTGCATTTGTAAACCCCTGAGATCAAACTGCAGCCCATTATTGCTGCTGTATGGAGCAAGAGAAAATCAGCTTTACTATTTCTCCACTCCTGCATCCTGACATTCATCACTATATACAAAGCAGCCACTCCTTCGTGGAAGCTCGCTGCTAATACACTGTTAATTAAATGAAGTTTATGAAACATTTTCAGCCTTATTTTACAGCAATACTTAAGGACCTGGCTTCCCACTGCATTAGGTGGAAAACTTGGATAATGTGCCATGTTCCTACCTTTCCATAAATTTCTGAAATATTTTTCCTCGGAGACTATCACAAATTTCTTCTATATATGGCTGAAGGGGGATAAGAAACACAATTAGTATTTAAGCATACAGTAAATTGATGATGCAGCACTACCCACTGCATTTAACTCATGTTGGCCCTATACAACAACAGTATTTACTGTGTTTTCTTTGAAGGAGACACTCTGAATGAAGCACTGAAGCTTCATTTAGCTTTTGGAATCTGATTAATGTATGAAACCTGTGTGAAGTACCTGACTATGGACAACAGGCCTGGGAAATCAATCACAGCACAGCTCTTCTTCCCCAGTGTATTTAAACAGAGTAAACAGTCCCTGCTGTGGAGTCTGTATTCTATTCCCAGGGCTGCCCTCTTGCTTCATCTCTCTGTCCTTACCAAGAAATCAGCACCTCCCATTCACAAGCGGCTCTTTCTAGAGGAACACTAGAACATGTGAGGTGGTACAAATGCTGAATTCCACACCAACATCAGCTGGGAATTAATACACTTGAAAATCAAAGGAAAAATGCTTTCAAAGGTTTCACATTACTGAAACATTAAGGCTATTTCTCAGTTCAGATTAGGCTGACAGGATGTGTATCCTCCTGATGGAAAGTGATTTATTCTAAATCATTTAATGGCTTAAAATTGCATGGATTTAAGAATTACTCTGTTCATATGCACCAAGGTTCAGTTTGCTTTCATTAAAAGTGCTTACAATGTTTTAGACAATAATTTGTGATTTTTTACTTAAAAAAAGCATTTTTATCACTACTACAGCAAAGAACATACACCAGTACAGTTTATTCTGTCTCCTGAAATAGTATGCACCAGATCGCTTACTGTCACAGAAGTGAAGGAAACAAGACCATTTCGAGTGTGTTAGGCTCACCTGGAAAAGGCTGGCTGGCACTTGTTTCTTGGCTAAATGCATTTGTACGTGATCTACAGCTTGCTTTGAGAACGGCTTTTGGAAAAGAAAGAGAAATGTTTCAAACAGCTGGAAATGGAAAAGTTTCATGGGAGGTCTACGGCACTGCTGTTCTTTTACCCACGTGAGACAGAGATGTTCCTTAGAGTGAATGGGTGCAACACCTCCCCCAAAGCATGTCATTGTGAAACATGCAGAGTAACACAGTGAAACAACTGCTCTAAAGCAGGAAGGCAGGAGAGAGGAAGATGAGGAGGAGAAAGGCAAAGACAGAAAGGCTCCATGATGCTCCTTTAAGAAATCAGTGAAAAATGCCCTATCCATTTACAGCTCCAGAGACAGCCTGGGCCTTCTACCACTACAGAGCCTATCATAGGTTAATAATATCATAATTAATATATTAAAACCTACTGCAGATCCTTCTTTAAAGCAACAGCAAATGAAACTGATAAATACAGATCAATTGGGGCAAGAGCTCAGCTGGAGGGAACACGTGTTTCCATGGGCTTAACAAAGCAGTATCTGTCCCAACGTGGCCCCATGCCTTCAACTCGCCACGCTGAGGCTAAAGAGTGCCTTGTCTCCGTGTAGTATGAAAGCCTGCTTTATGGCCAAACAAACCATAACACAACCCCCAGCAAGCTGTGTGTGACCAGTTTTAAACACAATCATCTCAACCTTTACTCTGAGCTTTCCCACACACCAGACTTCCACATCCAAACGGTCCCTGGCAGCTCCATTCCTTTGGGTTTTTGAGGCAGGCTTGCTGCTGGGTTGGGGAGGTTGGTTAATGTGTGCAAGTATATACACACACAAATGGCACTCATGCTATCGTATGGTAAAATATCTTGTTTGCAGAAATAAAACCAGATCAATCTCCAAATATTTCCCTTGCCTACCACCAAGTTTAACAATGAATGGCGCACAGCTCTCATTACTGAAAATAAACTGAAAAAGACACACTTCTGGGAGACCTTGGAGCAGCTCCCAGTGCCTAAAGGGGCTACAAGAAACCTGGAGAGGGGCTTGGGACAAGGGCCTGTAGGGACAGGCCAAGGGGAATGGCTTGAACCTGCCCGAGGGGAGGCTGAGCTGAGCTCTTAGGCAGAAGCTCTTCCCTGTGAGGGTGCTGAGGCGCTGGCACAGGGTGCCCAGAGAAGCTGTGGCTGCCCCATCCCTGGCAGTGTTCAAGGCCAGGTTGGACACAGGGGCTTGGAGCAAGCTGCTCCAGTGGAAGGAGTCCCTGCCCGTGGCAGGGGTTGGAGCTGGATGAGCTTTAAGGTCTCTTCCAACCCAAATCAGGCTGGGATTCTCTGCTGACTTCAGCCAAACGCAGACCCACTGGCTTCAAATAGAAATCCCCAGCACTACAAGCACTGGTAGCTACAATCCCATCAGTAATAATTGTTCTCTGAGTGAAACGATTATTTTGAACTACCCCTGCTGTCAAGCTACCCAAAGAAGGCAAGAGCAGTGTGAGATTGGGACGCTACGCACATGGGAACAGGACAGGAGCTCCTTCATGATGTACGTGTCATAGATCTGCCGACTCCGGGCCAGGCGCTCTTCCTCAGAATCCAGTTTCTCGTATTCTTTTATCTGCAATACAAGAGAAAAGGTCCATTAGATTTTTCACTTATTTGGTTTAAAAAACCCAAATACTTTCACTGAAGCTTATTTTACTTTGTTATTTTCTTAACTATTGCTCGGGGAGCACATTTGCTCGCAACTTTTTTTGTCTTGAAAAATGCTGCATTGGCTCTGAGAACGAAGAGGAGACTTCTTAGAACACTGACAAAGAATTCAGAAAGTCTTTGCTATTTTTGAGGAACAGTTCTTTTCCCCCCTTGGATTTGTCTGCAGAAAACTTCTCACCCTGCAGCTCAGACCCAGCCTGATACCGTCCTTCATGCTCCCATCACAGCTAAATCCCTTTGCAGGTCATCACTTCCCCTGGCAAAAAATGTCCAGACATGTATGGAGGGAATCCCACCGGGGCTGCCACTCCCACTGGTAGGCATTAAGAAGTCTGAAACTAATTTTCATTGAGAGCAGATTAACAGTTGCACTCAGTGATCTTAATGGTCTTCTCCAGAAGCCTCACCGAGTCCAAGTGTCCTTTGGGGTTTATTTAGGGAAAGAGTTCTTCCAGGACTGACTCAATGTAAAAACCATACAAGATCTTTAGGGAACAGATTCAGCTCTTGACTTGCTGAGACCTGCCCAGCATCACAGAATTAGAGAATACAACCCCAGACTGGTTTGTATTGAAAGGGGTCTTAAAGCTCCTCCGGCTCCAACCCCTGCCACAGGCAGGGACACCTTCCACTAGAGCAGCTTGCTCCAAGCCACATCCAATTGGGGAATGTTTTAGATTCCTGGATCCAAATAAAATGAAGCTTGCAGCCCTGCTCTGAGGCCCTGCTCTGACTCAGGAACACCAGAGCACAGTAGTTCCCAGCTGGATTTCATTCAGTGTTTGTGGGAGAGGGAACAGGACAGATCAGAGCTGTCTGTACCTTCAGCCTACAGAATAAACCCTGCACAAAAGATGCTCCTCATGAAGCAGGGACAGAGGGAGGGCTCTGCTGCCCTACCAGACCCTTCAGAGCAGAGCAGCACCGTGGTTCACACAAAGCACATCCCTGAGGACTTCAGAAAGCGAAGATGTGAAAACCCAGTGTTCTGCCTCTGTCACAATACACTTTCTTTTGTCCCTTCTTTCCGAGCCTGCTCCTTTCACAGGATGAGCTGTTCCTCACAGCTCTCAAGCAGGTCTCCAGGTGACAGCTCAGACCAGCCTACCTCAGGAGGTGCAACACTGTAATTGAACTCCGTGTTTTTCTAGTCCCCTTGTTTGCTGCCTATGATAAGGCAACAGTTCCCCCGCGAGCTGCCATCTGTGACTGCTTCCCCTTCGTACCCAGTTATAATTAAAATGATTCAATACATCTTTGCCAAGGAAACATTTTTAATTAATGCAATGCCATAAAATAATTAGAAGTTCAGGAGAAAGCCTGATACGTGGTATATTGTCTTACTTGAATGCAATTTCCTGCCCTTTGATATTTGGTTTTCAAACCGCCTCATTCTGCACGCAAAGCATCCCTCCACCACATCCTCACAGGCACATCCTCACCTGCCCTCACCTTTTAACCACAGTCCCTTTGTCTTGTAAAGCTTTGGAGAAAGGGACAGGAGGTGACTTTGGTGATGCACTCCGGGGCACCTCAGCCTGTTCTCCCCCTGCCCGATGCTGCTCATCACAGGTGATTCCACGAGACACCTCTACTACAGACCACATTTAACACATGTGCCTGACATATTCACAGATAATTTTATACATTCATTAAATAGAACATGACTGTAGCATGCCAAAAAACCACAGCATTAGGCAGAGCCAAAGTGTCAGCGTTTAGAGCTGTCACCAGTCTCTGGCAGCAGCAGCTCCGCAGTACTGCTCCTGACCCAAAGATACTGCCCCTGTCACTGTATTTCAACCCTTCCTTGGCCAACTTCAGCCCCCCTCCAGAGACACAGCTTTGAAAATGGGAATCAGAATGTGTCGGTTTTCAAGCACCCAAAAGTACTTCTTCTTTTTCTCCTTTCCTTCCCCTTCTTCCCGAAGCCGAGCTGGATGAATCACTCCCCCAGCTAAATGCCTGATCGTGACTTCAGCTGCAGTAACACGAAATCCCTGGAGTACGGGGCCCTTCTACATCAAGCGCTTTTTAATGGGGCGAGGTACTCAAATTATTCCACATGTAATAAATGCAGCAAGTAAACTGAATATTACAAAATAAAAGAGAAATCCGGTATGACACCAACAACGCTGCACCAAACCCCTCCTGGAATATCTGTAATGGGACTTTTTGAGCAGTACCTGACAAAGCACTGAAGCTCTTTTTAAGCCACACTTTGCTAATAACCTAAAAATACAATTCCAAATTGTTTCAGAGATAAAGAGGCAGTTAAAAATACCTGCTAAACAATCCCTGACAACGTGCCTTTTTGATTACCTATGACAGTGATACCTTCAGGATATAAAAAGGTGGAAACAATAGGAAAAAGGTTCTTCTTTATTGACAGTACCTAATATGTGAGGGGGGGAGCTGTGTGTTGTTGAGTTCTCTCCCACCAATGACCAACTCCAGCTATTCTGTGCTGCCAGCAAGAGAAATTCAACTCATCAGCTTAAGAGTAATCCAGACAAAAGGTTATCTCAGGCAGCTTTTCTAATTACTAGTGAGCAGCAGAGGCTGCCTCTTCCCAGCACGTCTGCGTGTTTGAACTGAAACCAGCACCTCTGACAGGATTAACTACACTTTTATATTTAGAGCCTCACAAATGGAGCACGGAATGAATGGAGCGAGGAGGCTCCTCAGGGTCCCCGCACTGCCAGGGCCCCCCAGCCGAGGAGAGATGGGAAGGATACAACGTGCTCCCCCGAATTACAGATCCCTCTGCATGATGCCTGACTTGGGGACCGTGTATGTGGGTTCCTCCACTGATTATCTCCTGACAGTGGAGCACAACTGACCATATCAACCACGACCGTACCAAATTGCCAACTTGTCAGTAGTTACACTGCTATCTTAAAACTCTCCTGAGCTTGGTTAAAGTGATGGTTTTGTCCCTTTGAGGTGCCACCGTTACTGTATCAAGGATGGTCTCTTACGAGCCAACCATTACACTGCGAAGCTGAAGTGACTGAGAACAAGGTCCCAACGTCCCCCTGGATGCCTCTCCTCCCCTCTCAGCATCCCCGAGGAGCAGAGTACCTTCCTCCTTACCTCTTCATAAAACTTCAGTTGAGGGACAGCTTCATCAATCTCATTCAAGCAATAGTCTTTAAACAGCAAAAATCCTGGAAAGGAAAGAGAAAAGGGGAAAATAAAATCAGAAAATGCCATATCATTACTGCAGTAACGTGTCAACAGGGATACAGCCCCCAGGTAACATCCTGGATTATCTACACCTGCAGAGACCCCTGCTCCCAAGGCTCAGCAATTCCCACCACCAGCATTCAGAACAGAAAAGGATCATAAACCTCATTTACCTCCCATAAAGCATACTCCAATTTCTACCTGCTGAGAATTGTATGAAATGGTTCCATACTGCACTAGAATATCCCATTCCTCTCAAAGGATCAGATTTTGTTCCTTTTTTCAGAGTAAAGACTAAATACTATTCACATGGTTTGGTTTAGATTTACCTACACTTTATTGATAAAAAACAACCTCTTCTGCATTCCCAGTTTAAAATTCCTGGTTAATGTTACCTCTAATAGGTTTTATAGCATAATAAATTACATCAGAGTCTTTATAGCTCCTTTACAAGTAATTTAAAGCATGACCTCTGCAGCCTGCTGATATTTTCCATTACAAGCATCTCCATGCACCGTGACAAGCTGAGTCTCATGGAAGTGGTGTCCTTATGTGCGCCTGGGCTGGTACCTGCTACCCTTTGACTTTACATGGGTATCTGCTGCTGAAGCTCATGCTTTGGGTTTACAGCCCCTCAGAGCTGTAAATGAACCAGGTCTCACCCCACCACACCAGGCAATACCTTTCCTTATTTAGAGTTACTGCTGCTTATGGAAATCACAGCCATCTTTTGGAGGTAAGACCAGGAAAACATGAACTTGAATAGCAAAGGGAGCAAGAAGCAGCAAGAGCGGCTGAGCCAAGGGCTGACACTGTCTGGGCACTGCTCCATCGGTTCCCTGCTCCTTTTCCTTCCCAGAAAGCAGCATGTGGAGACAGAAAATGCCCTTTTTCAACTTAAAATATACACAATATTTAATACTAACATTTATAAGAACTCAGAGAAGGGATTATACGTACGGAAGACCTGATCTAATTAAAATGTCATTGCAATTTGAATTTACAGCAAAATTATATGCTCGACTAAGAAATAATACAACCACCTACAGCATCTCCTGTATTCCAGACTATACTACCCGGTAATTCCATTGTAGTATGTACAGGAGGGCATTAACTGTCAGTTATGAGCATCATGTCCTTTCAACTCACTATCACCTGATTTTATCAAGGACCTAAATGAGAAGAAAGCTACCAGCTACTCAGCAGCAAACCCCAGTCCCAGCAGATAAAGCACTGCTAATCAGGCAAACTAAAGCTTTAATTTATTTATAATGAAAACACTGATCAGCTTCTTGATAGCCCCTCTAGATACATCCAGATCCCAAGTTACATTTGCTACTGGAAGCACCTGTTTTCCTGGGGTCCTCCGGATTACTTTGTCACAATCAGAACACCAGCAAGGGAATTATGACCAGACAGCTCCCATACTTCACTCAGCTTATTTAGCTGGTTAGGATGGTATTTCAACGGTTACACAAACTGGGGTTTGTTCTCTGAAGAAGGACAGAAATCTGATGACGAGATTCCCTTCTGAGGTCCTCCAAACTTTCTCATTATTCTCACCAAAAAGAATCATTCCTGAAATATTTTACAAAGAAACATGCTTTTCTGAAAATAAACCCCCCTGAGTTTGCTAATCCCTGCAGCAATCCGCACTCACACTGGGGCTTCCTTCTCTTCTAAGGCCTTGTCTCAGTTCCTGTTTTGCTGGGAATACTCTTGGTGAGCTGCTTCCCTTGCTGCAGAGGGGACAGGAGCGCAGCACCAGAGCAGCCCCTGCGATCCCCACACCTCATGTGAAGGACCTTGCTCCCCTAGTCCCCAGTGGGGACATGAGGGGTCCCTCCAGCAGGGCTCTGAGCAGGTCCCAGACTGTCCCTTCTCCTGCCCAAACCTCAGAGCTGCTCCTGGCACCTCTAGAGCACGGAGAACGTGGCCCAAACCTGGCTCAGGGCAAAACCTGCCACTGAGGGCATGAATCCAACTCCTTACTTTACACAGGATGGAAGCAGCAGCGGCACTGAGCAAAACACTGCTGAATTGACTGAACTTTCCCTTGGACAATGAACCAAAGAAGATTACAGTCGTGTAATTAAGAGACTAAAGAGCAGCACAAACAGCAATGAATGCACTGGAAGAAAAATCCCTGGCGAGGTCCCAGCCACTGGCTGGTCACCAAACAAACCCACAAACAACAAAACCCAACCCACAAAGACAACTGGGGGAGGAGTGTGAAAATACACCAACACACACCCTCAACAATGCCCTGGCAAGCACCGGAGCCCTGCTTAGTGTTTTCCAAACTGCTTCATTTCATTACGGCAGGGAACAAGAGGAGGTCGATGCTGCTCACACTGCAAGGCTGCTTCTCTCCAGGGCTCTGCTCTAAACTGCACTGCTGTGCAAGAAAATAAAGACATCCCAAATGAGAAGTTAGGAACCTTTAGAGATGATTGATGTAGTCATAATATGTTACAGCCATATCAAGTATGAGAAAATGCTGCTACCCAGCTCCAGTGAACATGAGCAGAATTATTACAGCTGCATTTTAAAGCCTATGCTAAACAATAAATTATTAAAAATACTGCAGTAAAATAAATCATAGCATGAAAACATAGGGCCTGTAGGGACAGGCCAAGGGGAATGGCTTTAACCTGCCATAGGGGAGACTGAGCTGAGCTCTTAGGCAGAAGCTCTTCCCTGTGAGGGTGCTGAGGCGCTGGCACAGGGTGCCCAGAGAAGCTGTGGCTGCCCCATCCCTGGCAGTGCTCAAGGCCAGGTTGGACACAGGGGCTTGGAGCAAGCTGCTCCAGTGGAAGGGGTCCCTGCCTGTGGCAGGGGTTGGAGCTGGATGGGCTTTAAGGTCCCTTCAACATAACCAGATTTTAACCTTCTCTTGAATTATTTGCCTTAAACTCTTTTACAGCGCCAATGCAAATACAAATATCCTACTCCTCCCTCATCTTGCATTTGCAGCTTGTCTGACTGTTCAATCCACGTCCCCAGGTATCAGCACATGGGACCTCTTCCCACCATCCTGATCTCAAACAAATCCATTGAGAGCCTGATGTTCTCCACACTGGAAGTGTTTGTGTTGCGACCTCCCGGAGTCTGCATTTCTACTGCAGCATAAAGGAAATCTCTCCTATTGCTGCTCTGAGATTGAGTGAAAAATTACTAGCCAGAAAGTGCAGCTCTCACATAATTGCAGAACTAATTGACAGACGCAGCAGTGAAGAAGTGACAGGAGTTTGAAGAAGTTCAGGCAGAACTGACGCAGAGCACAATAAGCACCTTTAACTACACACCAAGAAATCAGACCCAGAACAGAAAGCAGGAATTAGAAAAATGATAGCGTTAAGTAACAGATAAAAGGAACCAGCAATTATTTATGAAATCAAGATGCTGACAGCTTTTGCTTTAAAGATCTCTTCCTCGATACTATATAATTTCTGCAACAACCACATCACTACTTGTTAAGGGAAAAGAAAAATAGTTCTTAAAAGCTTTTTCTGGTACCACCACAGCGCTGGATGGTACCCACAATGCACACACTGGAGTACGAGACAGACCGAGCGCTGAGCCTCAGCTTTCCCACTCTCCAGACAGTATCTTTTTCCCATTATCTTTTGATGGGCAATCCTTTGCAGATAAGTTTGCCAAATGCCATTAACTGCACTAACCAATAACCAAGACAAAATGTGTTTCAAGGAGGGATAAAGACAACCCTTGGGGTTTGCAGCTCAGTTTTAACTGGACAGATGGGGAGACTGAGGTGATGACCTCAGCATCCTCTTGATCCATCAGCTCATTCCCAGAACTCATCCCCCATCAGCCAAGGCTGGTTTCACCAGCTTGGAAAGGGACAAGGAAGGGACTGAGGTTAACCCATGTCTTTTAAAAAGGAACACAGCAATATTTCATACAATCACAGCCTGTTCTGCAGCGAGGCCGATGCCCATGGGCTGTATCCACCCTGCAATGTCAAACCCTTCTCTTACAGCTTTAATAAAGAAATGCTGCCCTTTCCACTTGCAGGGACAAAAGCCACCTTCTCATTTTACAGCTCCATGTCATTTTCCTGCCCTGCTACCAGTGCTATTTAAGCAGGAGGCATTGCCCCATCAGCAGGTTCAGCTCTGGCAGCACTGGGCAGCAGGACAGCAGCCAGAGCCACGCTGCAGGCCATGCCAGGGGACAGCGCTGGCCTTCTGCCTGCTCAAGGTCACTCCTGCACTCGCAGCACCGTATCTTGATCTTCACCAGAATGTCAATTAATTTGAGAGCATGGGATAATAATAACACAATTAATGAGGAAATCTGTAATGAAACAAACCTGGCGGAGAACGACTTATCTCACTCTAACCAGATTTTTATTCCTAGCTGACCCAAATACCCTTTTAACGGGAGTAAATAACAACCTTATTAAAACAAACAGAAACAACTAGGTAAGACAGCAGAGCTAAAAATAGACACATTCCGCCCTGATGTAAGTATTCACAATGCCACTGACTGAAAGGAAGCTGCAGCTATTTACAGCAGACCTGAATGTGGTCCAAAATGCTGATGTAGACACTTTCGAGTAGGCAAAATAGCAAATTAGAAAACAAAAATATCAAGCTGCTTCCAAATCCTATCTAAATGTGCTGTGTATAAATAGAGAATAACAACAACCCAGCAAGCAGTGACATCTGCACCAGAACCAGGCTCCTCAGACCTCGGCTGCAGCGAATGGCTCCAGCTCCAGGCAGAGGAAGCGTCAGCACAAGCTTCCCAACATCAGGCTGGTGCGAAGCATGCCACGCAAGGAGTTTTCCTCATTTAGAGCCCTTAAATGTCTCTATCCTGAGACCCTCCAAGAATCTCCTGATATTTCTTGCGTGGCTGAATTCAGGCAACAGCTTGAAGAAGTCAGAGGAGCAGAACCACAGGGACACAGACAACTTGCCTCCAGCAAAGCCTCTTGTGCAGGACTGCCAAG